CCGCCCCTGGCCGCCCGCTGCTGGGAGCCGGGGGTGGGGAAGGCCGCCGCCGGGACGTTGAGCATCTCGCAGCCTCCCGCGGCTCCAGGCCGCCTCACCACTTCCGGTTTCGCGGGGGGAGGTGACTGAGCGGTCTGGCATCCGGGACACGCCCACCCCGGCGCTGATTGGCCGGGCGCTGCAGTGACGTTTCTGCGTGCCGGGCACCTTCGGCTTGCAGGCTCGGAAGCGGGGGTGGGAGCCGGGCAGCAGCCCGCGGGTCCCCCACGCTGCCACCTGCCAGCCAGGGCCGGGGCACACGACAGGGAGTCCGGGGAGGGAGGGCGGGCTGCATCTACTCCGATTTACATTGGTGCAGCTTGCATTGGCTGTGTCTTGTCTGCCCATGTACGTTAATTATGCCAGGATCTGGAGGCAGCAAATGACACTGACTAGCTACTTCCTTTAGGATCTGTTACAGAACCAGTCCATTATCCTGTTTCTCCAAGGGAATGGTTACCCCTGCATGGATGCTGATGACTGCTGGTCTAGTGAGACTGCTCAGGGCCCTGATCACGGCTGAACCTTTCCAGCCGCACGACCTGGGTCCAGCCTGCACTCGGAGACCTGCAGGGGTGGAAATAAACCCTGACAGGACAGAGCGCTTCAAATGGCCCAGGGTGGTCTTCCGCACTCCTGGAAGCACAGCTCCTCAGGGAAAAGGACATGGGTTATGCCTGAAATAAGCTGTCCCATCGAGGTTGCATAAATCTTCACAGTATAGCATGGATTTCGTTAGAGCAGCATTTCTGAACCCAGAGGCAGCAACCCAAAAGTGGGTCACCAGACTATATGAAAGGGCTGTGAACAAACTTTAAAAGCAGATCAAGAAACTTTAAAAATAGATTCTCCTTTAAAGGAGGAACATGTGGGAAACTGCGGGCTGGCAGAGCTCCAGCCTGCAAGGGGCTTGTTGGGGCCCTGTGCCCCACACATACTTCCCCCCACCCCACACACTGGGGGACAGGGCAGTGGGTCAGGACTGGCCATCCATGTTTACAAATGGTCCTGGTACCAAAAAAGGTTAAGAACCACTGCCTCGGAGGAGTAAACCACCTTGAAAGTTCAAGTTCTGCAGCCCTCAAAATATATCAGGATTACTGTAGGGTGTCTGCAAACTCAGGCAGTCATAGTAACAACCAGGTCACAGTCTGAAGGCTATGAAAAGTAGAGATTACATGAGCATACACAGCCAGCTGTAAAGATCACGTTCCTCCAAGACCAGATTTTGCTACTTGTCCATTCTTACTATGTCAGGCTGCACTTGTCCTGACTAATTTCAATGGAAGCACTCACAGACTGAGATCCAAGTCATGACAGACTTAGGTGCCAAATGTGTGTATCTGTAAATTATATTTGTTTTACATTTGAGTCTTGAAAGTTACAGGCACATATTATTAGAGATCTCAGGCCAAATTCTGCTATAATGATAGTTGTGAAGTCACATTAAAATCAGTGTAGGGAGAATTCTGCTTCTGATTTCCTTACCTGGTTTTTGTCTGATTTACATGTATGAGTGAGCAGTAGCTTCTTTTAATCAATATCCAGACATTTAAGCCCAGGTGTTTGAGAGAGCATGACTGGAGGTTTCCACAGATAACACATTTACACCAGTGTAATCAGTGCAGAAAGCAGTGAACAGACAATGTCAACCCCAGTATCAAATACAAATACATTTTCCCCAATACAATGTAAACTCCCGCCCCTGCTCCCCCCCCCTCCCCCGAGAGAACCCAGAGCAAAACTATACCAGCAGTCATCTGCATCCATGCAGGGGTAACTGTTTCCTTGGACAAACAGGGTCATAGAATGGTTCTGTAATATATCCTAAAGCAGAGGTGTCCAACCTTTTTGAATGTAGGGCCGGATCATGAACTTTTTATCACCCAGTGGGCCGGTGAGCCATATTCAAAAACCTCACAGGAAGCAGTATCACATCAGGAAGTGATGTCATGTGACCTTTGACACCAATGAAGTTGCAGGAAGTGACAATGAAGTGGTCTCGAAATGTGGTTTACAATCCAAAATAAAAACAATCTTAAAGCAACAATGAAATAATACCAAAAACTTGACTAAAATAAATACTTTCACTTCTACTCACTTCTCAATGAATGAAAGAAGTATAATGCAGGTCGACAGATCAAACGTGAAAAAGATATCAGCCAGAGTGGAAACTAATCAAAGCAACAAAATATGGGCATTTTTGAGAATAATCTTCAAGCAGATTTACTTGTATTGCATTAATAACTTGTTAGTAACACATCTTTAACAAGTAGTAACAGGTTGGACCCCCAACCTCCCACAAGAAAAACAGAAGCAAACACAATCCAAACACTGGACAGTATTTTTACAAAGATTTTTACCTGCTCCAAATTTACATTGGAGCCCAGATAGTTCATGCTCTATTCTTGAGCATATTGTTCAGTCTTAAACAAGCATACAGCACAGCTATCCAGTGAGGTTCATAATTGAGGACATTCTGTTACAACAGGAACTATCCAGGCAAAAAAAGAGACAGGTGGCAATACAACCGTTGTCAGGTCTCAAGAAAACAAGTATGCTCCAATCCACACTGTAAGTGTACAAAAACAGTGTAAAAACAACGATGTGTACAGGTCTACTCTTATGAACTTTCTGAAAACTGCAATGAATACTGATTTCTTTAGTGTGATACCTGGCATTGTTTTTGCTTGCACAAGTTATCAATATCTGCTGGCACATTTGATATGGTGATGCGGAGTATTCCAGATAGATGCCCATCTGTCAAAAGTGATCTTGATTTTGTTTTTATGTTCTTCGTTCTTGAGAAAAGCTGTTCACAGCAATACGTGCTGCCAAACAGTGCAATGAACCGAAGTGCATGATTCAATAGATTTGGGAAAGAGCGCCATGTAACATGTTGAGTATAAAATGTCAGTAGGTCATGTTCTGCAAAAGCTCTCTTCACGGCACCGTTATTTGGGATGTCAATTAGTGCCATTTGGAACGTGTCAGGAGCATCGGTGGCATCCGCTCCAAATGGATCTGCAAACAGCTTCAACTCATCGCTGTGTTCCCTGAAATCCGCAAATCTTTGTTTGAACTCATCCAGCAGATGGCCGATCAGTGCAGAATACTTGTCATGGTTCACAGTCTCAGCACTTCTTGTTAATAGTATTGTGAAATGGGTGACATTCTTTTTATTCAACTGTTCCTCCAGGGTAGGGGAGAGCACCACCTCCCTTGGGAGCCCGTTCCAGACTTTGACCACTCTAACTGTGAAGAAGTTCTTCCTAATGTCTAGTCTAAATCTGCTCTCTGCTAGCTTATGGCCATTATTTCTTGTAACTCCCAGGAGCGCCTTGGTGAGTAAAGCCTCACCAATTCCCTTCTGTGCCCCCATGATGAACTTATAGGCAGCCACAAGGTCACCTCTCAACCTTCTCTTGCGGAGGCTGAAGAGATCCAGGTGCTCTAGTCTCTCCTCATAGGCCTTGGCCTGCAAGCCCTTAACGATATGAGTGGCCCTTCTCTGGACCCTCTCCAGGTTATCCACATCCCTCTTGAAGTTCTATGAAAGCTATGCCATCAGTGGCATAACGGTCACAAGCTGGCAGAGGGTAGATTCAGACTAGACATCAGGAGGCGCTACACAGTCAGGGCGGCTACGATCTGGAACCAACTTCCAAAAGAAGTGGTGCTGGCTCCTATCCTCCGCAAGTTCTATGCCATCAGTGGCATCCGTTCCAAATGGATCTGCAAACAGCTTCAACTCATCCCTGTGTTCCCTGAAATCTGCAAATTTTTGTTTGAATTCATCCAGCAGATGGCCGATCAGTGCAGAATACTTGTCATGGTTCACAGTCTCAGCACATCTTGTTAATAGTATTGTGAAATGGGTGACATTCTTTTTATTCAACTGTTTCTGAAACAATTTCAGCTTATGAATGAAGGATTGGATGTATTCATACAGTCTGTTGACAAATTGATCCTTCCCTTATAGTTTTATATTCAAATTTGCAAGATACTTGGTGATGTCAACTAGGAATGCCAAGTCATTCAGCCATGCATCATCGTCCATGAAGCTAACATCTTTTCCTTTGTTTGTCATGAAGGTTTTAATTTCATCAAGCAGTGACTAGAATCTGGCTAGTGTGGCTGCCCTGCTGAGCCAATGAA